GCAATGTTCCATCAGAGAATCGTACAAATTCTCCTGACTCCCAAAATCCGACATGTTGGAAGGGTTGGAGGTGGAATCTCTTTGTGTCTTTTACTTCAAGAATGTGAAAGAATTTCCGGGACTCCTTGTCTTTTTTTTTTTCAGAAATATGAAAGAATCTTCGGGTCTCCTTGTGCTTTTTTTTTCAAGAATGTGAAAAAGCCTCTAAAGGACCTCTTGTGTTTTTTTTTTCAAAATTTTGAAGGAATCTCTGGGACCGCTAGTTTTTTTTTCAAAAATATGCTGAAATCTCCGGGTCTTCTTGTGTTTTTTTCAAGAATGTGAAAAATCAGCTAGGACTTCTTGTGTTTTTTTTTTTCAAGAATTTGAAGGAATCTGTGGGACTCCTTGTTTTTTTTTCAAGAATATGATGAAATCTCCGGGACTCCTTGTGTCTTTTCAAGAATATGAAAGAACCTCTAGGACTCTTTGTGTATTTTACTTCAAGAATGTGAAAGCATCTCCGGGACTCCTTGCCTTTTTTTTTCAGAAATATGAAAGAATCTTCGGGTTTCCTTGTGCTTTTTTTTTTCAAGAATGTGAAAATGCTTCTAGGACCCCTTGTGTTTTTTTTTCAAGATTTTGAAGGAATCTTTGGGGCCCCTTGTTTTTTTTTTTTTCAAGAATATGATGAAATGTCCGGGTCTCCTTGTGTTTTTTTTTCAAGAATGTGAAAAAGCAGCTAGGACTTCTGGTGTTTTTTTTTTTTCAAGAATTTGAAGGAATCTCTGGGACTCCCCTTTTTTTTTCAAGAATTTGATGAAATCTCCGGGACTCCTTGTGTTTTTTTTTCAAGAATGTTAAAAAGCCTCTAGGACTTCTTGTGTTTTTTTTTTTCAAGAATTTGAAGGAATCTCTGGGACTCCTTGTTTTTTTTTCAAGAATATGATGAAATCTCCGGGACTCCTTGTGTCTTTTTTTTCTCAAGAATATGAAAGAACCTCTAGGACTCTTTGTGTCTTTTATTTCAAGAATGTGAAAGAATCTCCGGGACTCCTTGTTTTTTTTTTTCAAGAATAATAATAATAATAATAATAGGACTTTATTAAATAATAATAGGCGAAGTCTAGCCATAGGCTATTCCATGAATATGATGAAATCTCCGGGAGTCCTTGTGTTTTTTTTTCAAGAATGTTAAAAAGCCTCTAGGACTTCTTGTGTTTTTTTTCAAGAATTTGAAGGAATCTCTGGGACTCCTTGTTTTTTTTTTCAAGAATATGATGAAATCTCCGGGACTCCTTGTGTCTTTTTTTTTCTCAAGAATATGAAAGAACCTCTAGGACTCTTTGTGTCTTTTACTTTAAGAATGTGAAAGAATCTCCGGGACTCCTTGTCTTTTTTTTTCAGAAATATGAAAGAATCTTCGGGTTTCCTTGTGCTTTTTTTTTTCAAGAATGTAAAAATGCCTCTAGGACCCCTTGTGTGTTTTTTTTCAAGATTTTGAAGGAATCTTTGGGGCCCTTGTTTTTTTTTTTTTTTCAAGAATATGATGAAATGTCCGGGTCTCCTTGTGTTTTTTTCAAGAATGTGGAAAAGCAGCTAGGTCTTCTTGTGTTTTTTTTTTTCAAGAATTTGAAGGAATCTCTGGGACTCCTCTTTTTTTTTCAAGAATATGATGAAATCTCCGGGACTCCTTGTGTTTTTTTTCAAGAATGTTAAAAAGCCTCTAGGACTTCTTGTGTTTTTTTTTCAAGAATTTGAAGGAATCTCTGGGACTCCTTGTTTTTTTTTCAAGAATATGATGAAATCTCCGGGACTCCTTATGTCTTTTTTTTTCTCAAGAATATGAAAGAACCTCTAGGACTCTTTGTGTCTTTTACTTCAAGAATGTGAAAAAATCTCCGGGACTCCTTGTCTTTTTTTTTCAGAAATATGAAAGAATCTTCGGGTCTCCTTGTGTTTTTTTTTTCTCAAGAATATGAAAGAACCTCTAGGACTCTTTGTGTCTTTTACTTCAAGAATGTGAAAGAATCTCCGGGACTCCTTGTCTTTTTTTTTCAAAAATATGAAAGAATCTTCGGGTTTCCTTGTGCTTTTTTTTTCAAGAATGTGAAAATGCCTCTAGCACCCCTTGTGTTTTTTTTTTCAAGATTTTGAAGGAATCTTTGGGGCCCCTTGTTTTTTTTTTCAAGAATATGATGAAATCTTCGGGTATCGTGTTTTTTTATTCAAGAATGTGAAAAAGCCTTTAGGACTCCTTGTGTTTTTTTTTCAAGATTTTGAAGGAATCTCTGGGACTCCTTGTTTTTTTTTCAAGAATAATAATAATAATAATAGGACTTTATTAAATAATAATAGGCGAAGTCTAGCCATAGTCCATAGTCCATGAATATGATGAAATCTCCGGGACTCCTTGTGTTTTTTTTTTCAAGAATTTGAAGGAATCTCTGGGACTCCTCTTTTTTTTCAAGAATATGATGAAATCTCCGGGTCTCCTTGTGTTTTTTTCAAGAATGTTAAAAAGCCTCTAGGACTTCTTGTGTTTTTTTTTCAAGAATTTGAAGGAATCTCTGGGACTCCTTGTTTTTTTTTCAAGAATATGATGAAATCTCCGGGACTCCTTGTGTCTTTTTTTTTCTCAAGAATATGAAAGAACCTCTAGGACTCTTTGTGTCTTTTATTTCAGGAATGTGAAAGAATCTCCGGGACTCCTTGTCTTTTTTTTTCAGAAATATGAAAGAATCTTCGGGTTTCCTTGTGCTTTTTTTTTTCAAGAATGTGAAAATGCCTCTAGGAACCCTTGTGTTTTTTTTTCAAGATTTTGAAGGAATCTTTGGGGCCTTGTTTTTTTTTTCAAGAATATGATGAAATGTCCGGGTCTCCTTGTGTTTTTTTCAAGAATGTGAAAAAGCAGCTAGGTCTTCTTGTGTTTTTTTTTTCAAGAATTTGAAGGAATCTCTGGGACTCCTTGTTTTTTTTTTCAAGAATATGATGAAATCTCCGGGACTCCTTGTGTTTTTTTTTTCTCAAGAATATGAAAGAACCTCTAGGACTCTTTGTGTCTTTTACTTCAAGAATGTGAAAGAATCTCCGGGACTCCTTGTCTTTTTTTTCAGAAATATGAAAGAATCTTCGGGTTTCCTTGTGCTTTTTTTTTCAAGAATGTGAAAATGCCTCTAGGACCCCTTGTGTTTTTTTTTTCAAGATTTTGAAGGAATCTTTGGGGCCCCTTGTTTTTTTTTTCAAGAGTATGATGAAATGTCCGGGTCTCCTTGTGTTTTTTTCAAGAATGTGAAAAAGCAGCTAGGTCTTCTTGTGTTTTTTTTTTCAAGAATTTGAAGGAATCTCTGGGACTCCTCTTTTTTTTTCAAGAATATGATGAAATCTCCGGGACTCCTTGTGTTTTTTTTCAAGAATGTTAAAAAGCCTCTAGGACTTATTGTGTTTTTTTTTCAAGAATTTGAAGGAATCTCTGGGACTCCTTGTTTTTTTTTCAAGAATATGATGAAATCTCCGGGACTCCTTGTGTTTTTTTTTTCTCAAGAATATGAAAGAACCTCTAGGACTCTTTGTGTCTTTTACTTCAAGAATGTGAAAGAATCTCCGGGACTCCTTGTCTTTTTTTTTCAGAAATATGAAAGAATCTTCGGGTTTCCTTGTGCTTTTTTTTTCAAGAATGTGAAAATGCCTCTAGGAGCCCTTGTGTTTTTTTTTTCAAGATTTTGAAGGAATCTTTGTGGCCCCTTGTTTTTTTTTTTCAAGAATTGATGAAATGTCCGGGTCTCCTTGTGTTTTTTTCAAGAATGTGAAAAAGCATCTAGGTCTTCTTGTGTTTTTTTTTTCAAGAATTTGAAGGAATCTCTGGGACTCTTCTTTTTTTTCCAAGAATAATAATAATAATAATAATAATAGGAGTTTATTAAATAATAATAGGCGAAGTCTAGCCATAGTCCATAGTCCATGAATATGATGAAATCTCCGGGACTCCTTGTGTTTTTTTTCAAGAATGTTAAAAAGCCTCTAGGACTTCTTGTGTTTTTTTTTTCAAGAATTTGAAGGAATCTCTGGGACTCCTTTTTTTTTCAAGAATATGATGAAATCTCCGGGACTCCTTGTATCTTTTTTTTCAAGAATGTGAAAAAGCCTCTAGGACTCTTTGTGTCTTTTACTTCAAGAATGTGAAAGAATCTCCGGGACTCCTTTTTTTTTTCAGAAATATGAAAGAATCTTCGGGTTTCCTTGTGCTTTTTTTTTCAAGAATGTGAAAATGCCTCTAGGACCCCTTGTGTTTTTTTTTTCAAGATTTTGAAGGAATCTTTGGGGCCCCTTGTTTTTTTTTTTCAAGAATATGATGAAATGTCCGGGTCTCCTTGTGTTTTTTTATTCAAGAATGTGAAAAAGCCTTTAGGACTCCTTGTGTTTTTTTTTTCAAGATTTTGAAGGAATCTCTGGGACTCCTTGTTTTTTTTTTTCAAGAATAATAATAATAATAATAGGACTTTATTAAATAATAATAGGCGAAGTCTAGCCATAGGCTATTCCATGAATATGATGAAATCTCCGGGACTCCTTGTGTTTTTTTTTTCAAGAATTTGAAGGAATCTCTGGGACTCCTTGTTTTTTTTTCAAGGATATGATGAAATCTCCGGGACTCCTTGTGTTTTTTGTTTCTCAAGAATATGAAAGAACCTCTAGGACTCTTTGTGTCTTTTATTTCAAGAATGTGAAAGAATCTCCGGGACTCCTTGTCTTTTTTTTTTTCAGAAAAATGAAAGAATCATCGTGTTTTCTTGTGCTTTGTTTTCAAGAATGTGAAAATGCCTCTAGGACTCTTTGCGTTTTCGTTTTTCAAAATTTTAAAGGAATCTCTGGGACCCCTTGTTTTTTTTCAAGAATATGATGGTTCTATCTGGATTTTTATGTGTTTCGTTATTTTGTCTAGGGTTTTTTGGTAAACAAGGTTTTCGCAGGGACGTGGAGTTGTTCCAAGTCGTCGTCTCTGGTGAAAACCGGAAACTGGGTACTTTTTTACATTTTATTTGAAGCTTAATATACAGTGGTTGTAAATATGAGATTTCTTAAATAAAGCCCTGTACCAGGAATACCATTTTTACATAACAATAATCACAAAGTTGACTAAATTGACTACGTTTTGACTATGCCACCTCGTACGGTTCGAACTCCATGTCGTCGATCTTCTTGGTCTTCGTCTTCACGGTGTCGTAGTTGTGGTAGTCGTACATGATTTTCGCTTTCGGCGCGTTGTTGAAGTTTATCCCGCTGTAGGTCTTCTCTTTGGAAACGTCGCCCCATTGAGTCATCTTCCGTTCTTCTCCGATGATTTTCGGCTGCGTATCTTCCATTTTCTTCTTTATAGATTCGTTGATCACGTTCTTCTCCACTTGCTTGTTCTCCAACTCCTTCACGTCCTTGAGGCTCTTCCGTCTATTATTCAAGTACTTCTCTTTCGCTTCGTTCAAATCGCTCGTCCCCACTAACTCTAACCTGCTGCTGCAACTATTCGACTTGATCAACTTGAATTTCACCCCTTGGTAGCCGTCTTTTTCGTTCTTCTTACAATTGCACTCCACACTTTTCATTTCGTTGTTTTTGATTTCTTCCATGATCGCTTTAGTTAGTACCGGCTGTCCCGACTGCTTCTTCACCACCCGTCCGCCGTAGTACGTCACGGTCGTACCGCACTCCCTTATTTTCTCAAGCACGTCCTCGCTCACGTACTGCCTCTCACAGCAATGTTCCATCAGAGAATCGTACAAATTCTCCTGACTCCCAAAATCCGACATGTTGGACGGGTTGGAGTTGGAATCCGTCGCCGAACAGTGATCTTTATCCGGATCCGTCGACTTAGCACCACGTTTGACGTCGCCCCCGTCGAACTCCTGCGAACTCCGAGACCTGGGCAGCCCCCCTTCGAACATCAACCTCACCTGCTTCACTGTATCCGGATTCGGAAGCTCGTCGTCGTTCATCTCCTTGTTCACCCGAATCGGGTGGTAGAAAAAATGACGCTTCAACCCCGCGGGATCCTCGCTACGTTTGTGCAAAAGAGGAGTCACGTTCTTGGTTGTTTTCGCCTTCTTACCGCCCGATTCGTGCTGGATTTTCGTTCGAATAGGTTCGATGATGACGATGTTGTTGTCCCGAAGCAACTCCTGGAAACTGTAGTCCTGTAAATATTGCATCAACCCGTCAAACTGGCTCTCTTTCTCGCAATTCGCGAAGATCTTCTTCTGGAAGAGGTCGCTTTTGACCACGCGGTACCTCACATGGTCGAACTCTGGGTTCGTTATGCTCATGGATTTCGCAATGGGTTTGTGCTTCTTGTCGTCTTTGGACACGATTTCGACCGTGTTCGGGTTAAGACTTTCGTACTGGTTGTTGTTCGTGGTGATGTAATTATTGTTTTTGGAGTTTTCGAAATAATTGCACGATTCCTTGATAAAAGGGGAGATCTTCTCGACTTTCTCGATGGGTTTTTTCTCGAAGAGTTGCTTGGCGATTTGGACTTTGCTAGGTTTCTCTGGTTCTTTCTCCTCGGGTTCGAATTTCTTTTTGACGTCTTCGACTTTGGTCTGCACGTCGACGATCTTACACTTCGTGGGTGAATCCTCGCTGGGTGGTTGCTCCGCTTTCTCTTTACCGTTGATCATCTTGTCCCAGTACGTCCTCATGGTGCCTAATTTCTCGTGGTACTCTTTCGTGCACTCGTCCATTTTCGTCTGCACGGCGACGATTTCGGGTTTCGTGATGTTGTGATTTTCGTCTAGTCTGTGACTCAAGGTTGCTTTCAAGCTCCGTACGGCCTCCAGAAACTGTTCTTCTGGTTTATGCTTCGACTTCTTTTTGTTCTTCCGCGGTACTTTAGCTATCTTTAGTTCGAAATCGACTGGAATGTTGGCGTTCGCTGTGATATCGAAATGTTTGCCGATGTTCACTATAAACCGACTCTCGCCACTTTCGGCAGGTTTTTTGATCGTGGTCTTGTCGCACTTTCGCAGTTTCCGGTCAATCTTCTCGCATTTCCTCAAGCTTTTCGTCACGGCTAAATCCGGGAGCGAGTAGAAGCGATTGTCGATCAAGTTCGTGCTTTTGCGGGATAAGTTCGATAGTTTTTTGGTGATGAAGTTCTGCAGAGGTTTCTTCGAACCCTTTTGGGTTTCTAGAAACTCGCGCAGGTAGTTGTGACTGTGTTTGTTTTTTTCTTCTTCGGTTTCGTCGATCGGGTCCGGCTCGACTGCAACCACTGTCTTGTAATTGTCGTTTTCGTCCGGTGGAACGACTTCGATGTTTGTGATTAGGGTTTCGTCGACCTCTTCGTCTTTGGTTTCTTCTTTTTCTTCTTCTATTTCGACGATTCGGGTGATATTTTCATTAATCTCGTCTAGATTTTTGTCGGTTTCGAAGTACTCCAAACTGATGTTGTCGTTCTCGTGGTCTTCCTCTTTGTGCTTCTCTTCGGAAGAATCAGAAGAGTAGCTGCGTCTGTTGTCGCGGTAGTACGTCTGCTTCTCACTGTTGTAAGGGGTGGGACCTCTGATAGTCCTCGGTTTCGCGTAGTGGTTCTCCTTGATCGAGTCGTACAAAGGTCTGTTAGTACTCAAGACGATGTTATCGTCGTAGGGTATACTCTCCGGCTCGGTGATAGTCCACTTCCCTGCAGATATATTATCACACGACGAGTACTTCTTGCTTAAGTTGTCTCCGTACGACGACAAGTCGTCCGCCAACGAGATCGCGTCAGTATTATCAGTGTCGTACTTGGAATCCGGGTAATAATTCGGCAGACTCAACCCCGGAAGCTCGTCATACGACACCCTACAATCCTTATTCCCTCCCGACGTGTCTTCCTCCTTGCCAATAACGAATTTGGGACTAGCCAAGTTAGTTATTGACGAATACACAGCCTCGGTGGTCCGCCTCGGCGGCGAGTAATCCGGCGGGGTTAAGTTCCGCACCACCGCGTACCTACAACACCCAAATCAACCAAACTGAAACCCTCAAACTTGGTTCATACCTCGGCTCCTTCGGTCTCTCGATGAGCTTCGCCCGAGGGATCAGCTGCGACCTCCTCGGTGTGCCGTTTTCGCGGTAGTCCAAGTTCGTGAAGACGTCCTCACGGGTGATGGCCAAGCTGCGGCTTCGTCGCAGGGTCCCGGACTGGGAGTCGCCCCACGGGTCGGTGGACACGTTCTCCAAACTACCCCTCTGGAGTTTGGGCTGGCGCTTCGTGTAGGTGGTGTTGTCGATCGAGGGGCGGGAGCCGCGCCGGGGGTTGAGTTTCACGTTGTTGATGCAGGATTCGCGCTCCTGTCTGAAAGGATAAGCGGAACGGAATAAGCTTGTTGTTGTTTGTCGGCTAAAAAAGTTAATCGGAGTGTTTGCCGAGGCAATTGGCGATGGATCGCAAGGTCGAGTTACGTCTGTTTGTGCGCGATATTGGGGCTATTAGGGGGATTATGGGATCTGGGTGACGCGGAAGCGCATAGAAGGTGATAAAATCGTAACAGCTCGCTTACAAGCGCACAATGCATGTACAAATTGGTCACATTCTTGTGTTCAGCTCGCCATTAATTAAAACTACATCCACTCTTTCCGCCGCAAATAGCGAATCCACGGCCTTTGATCCCGCTGCATATGACCATCGCTGGATCAATAGACACCCCAATGCGGGCCATTACCTCCAGCAGCGGTACGTACAGAGGTGTCGTCTTTATCTGTAATGCGACTTTGATGGGACAGATGATGGGCTGTATGGTTATCTACGGCCGGGCGATAAATTGGATTATTCGTGTAGCAGCTGGCGGTGCGTACCAGCAGCCTAATAAAATAATAGAGGAGATAAGGTCGAGCTGACAAGAGTCAATTCGCCTTGTTCAGTCGGCCCGGACGCGTGGGAACGTTTTGACAGATGCTAAAAGGGCCGGAATTCCGTCTTGATTAACATTGGAGGGGGTGGGGGCGGGTTCTGGACGTGGAAAAATGGCGAGGCGCAGGAAAATAACTTATAGGAGTATCGTTTTTAGTTTCGAACGGACGTTTTATTTGCAGGGTTCGGGAAATGGGAGCGAGTCGGCTGTGCTGGGAATGTATTATGCATGCGACTTTGATTTTCAAACAGACAATGCATTTCGTCGTTGAATCAGTCAGGTGCATAACGAGTCAAAGACAATGGAGGTGTTTTTCTACAAAATGCCGTGTCATCAAAGTGATGGAGAAAATAGTCTTCTTATTCATATTATTAAATAAGGATTTGGATTTCAAAACAGAAACTATATTTACGAAATGAAAAAATTTACGCCACAAAAAAAAAACGATTTTTGCCTAGCCGTTACTCCTAATTGATAATTATAGTTCTTTTAATGATATAGAAGGCAGAAAACCGGCCGTGATAGTGAAAAACCCAATCTCTAAAACAAAGGACTTTTATGGTCGCTGATAAGGATGATTACACACTCACCAGCTTTTATAAACAAGATTTAGCCCTGAGATCATCTAAGGTAGGCTATCTTCTGTGTTTAGAGAATTAATTAGAAAAATTAGCAAATTATTTTGAATAGTCGAACTCGCAAAACTACACAGGGCATAGGTTTCGCCGAATTTCAACCACTTATAGTAAGTTCCGTGTAATTTTTTTTATATCAATCCAGATGTACATAACTTTTGTGAATTTCGTATTATTGTATTGAGGATTTCAAAAAGTACTTAGAAAAGAGATTTTCTCAGATATTCAATCTTTGTTTTTTTTTAATATATAGAGTTTTCTTTCGACAACAGGATAATTAAACATGTTTTCAGTTTCTCGTTGGGAAAAGAAGACTTTGTATATTAAGAAAAAGTGGACAAAATATAAGCCCCGCCCACCCACCCCTTCTCAATTGTGATGAATATTTTATTCATTGTGAGTTGAAGGGCGGAGTTTAATTGCAAAATTCTCATTTTTCTACAAGAAATTATCATATGAAACTCATCATAATTGAGATTGGGACGGGTGAGTGGGGCTTATTATTATTTTTTTTTTTTCTTTATATACTTAGTTTTCTTTCAACAATTTTTTGGCGCAAAGAACAAGAGATATTATAATAAAAACCATAAAGTCAATCTATTGTTCAATAATTTTGGAATGTACTCCTAATGTAAGTCAACTAGAAAAAATTCTACTTTCTCGTTTTTCTCGAAAAACTGAAGAAATGGAAAACTAAAAAATCTAAAAATTAAAACTTTAAGAGATATCGTAAAATTAAAGAAAAAAAAAACGAAAAATTGAAAAACTGATGAACCGAAAAATTGAAAAAAAGTGAAATTGAAAAACAAACAATTATAAAATTGTAAAAATAAAGAAAATACAAAATTGAAACGGAAAATTGCAAATGGAAAAATTGGAAATTGAAAACTCGAGAAACTCAAATCGAAAAATTGCAAAATCTAGAAATTGTATGGAAAATTTGAAAAATTTAAACTTGAAAACTCGAAAAAATGAAGGAATAAAAAAAATTTTAAAATTAAAGAAACAATTCAAGTCAAATAAGCTGCGGGAGTGTTATTTACGCCACTGGATTTTACTTTATAGAGATTAACAAAAAAAAAAAAAAAATGAAATTTGATGGATTTTATCTCCTCAAAGTAGAGGAGAGGACTGATTAATGAAGTAACCACGCCCATTTTTTTCGCAGAAATTAAAAATACAATTTTGATTTTTTTCCAAAAATCTGGATGTCTGGGGTAAAAACTACTCGGTTTCATAAAAATTTAAATAAGATTTACTGATGAAAATTTTGGAGATGACGTCATCTTATTGTTGGTGGGGATGAGTAACTAAATTTTGGTTAGAGTTTTACCATCGACACGATATCAGTTAAGTAGTTTCGAAAATTATTTGCCTAATAAAAATCCGGACAGACGACAGACAGACAGACAGACAGACAGACAGACGGAAAGAGGAGTCGTTGGTTTCTGACCCACACTTTTTAAACATGTGGTAATTTTAAAAAAACTGGAAAATTTCGGAAATTGTGTGTAACAAGAAAGCGTATTAAAATTAAAAATTTGGTTAAAAAATTTGTGGAAATTACAAAAATTCTGTACAATTTTGTTATAATATTGCGTATGATCTAACTCAAGAATTCATAAAATCTACAAGATTCAGCTCAAAATTTTTGCCATTCTACAAGATTTCGAAATGACCGGATGAATGAACAATTTACGAAAGCCCCAAAAAAATTACGTTTCAATTTTTAACTAAAGGTTTCTTTCAAGTTTAGATGATATCAGATTTGTAAAAAAAAGTAAGAATAAAAAATGTGACAGGGAAAGAGGGAATAAAAAAATCTGACTCCATTTTCTAGATTTGACCAAGAAAGAAAATTTTTTATAAAATTCGCCATTCTGAAATATCTAAAATTGTCAAAAAATCTGAATTTTTATAAAAAAAATTGTGCGATTTGTTCAGAAAAATCGCCAGGTGAGCACGATGAAGTCTAACTAAGTACCAGAAGGAAACAGGAAACCGTACATTTTCGTATTCCACTAGCTGTGAGCACAATAAATTTAATCCAAAAAAAACCCGAACTCTTTCGTAACATGTATAAATAAAAATTGCATTTAATTCTTGTCAAGATGTCAATGTTTTTATAAAAATTTCAAAATTTTCAGAAAAACGAACAAAATTTGTAAAAAAATCCTTACAAAATACTTCATTAATCGGCATTATTTCACGTTTGTTCTTTTACAAAGTCTGAAAAGAACGAAATTTTTTTTCAAGTTTCTGACGTAAACTTTTTAAAAATGTCGTAATTTTGAAAAACTGGAAATTTTCGGAAATTATTCATAAATGCAACAAGAAAACGTATTAAAACTATTAAAAATTTGGTTCAAAAGTTTTTAGAAATTACAAAAATTCTGTACAATATTGCCAATGATCTAACTTCAAAAATTCATGAAGATCAGACGTAAAATTTTTGAAATTGTACGAAATTTCAAAATGACCGAGTTTGAATGTTCAAGAAATTATCTTGTACTTTCAATATTATCACTTATAAAAATTGGTCGAAAACTCTTTCGACAGAACTTCTCTCGCACCTAAAGTATATTTTTTGCCAAAATCAGTTTTATCTTAACAAGTACTAGGCCCGCCCACCCGCCCTCTATTTTTTCAGAAGATATGTCATTTGCCAAAATAAGATTTATCTTACCAAGGACTAGCCCCGCCCACCCGCCCCCTGTTTTCTCAGAAGATGTTATTTGCCAAAATCCGTCTTCTCTTACCAAGTATTAGCCCCGCCCACCCGCCCCCTAATTTCTCAGAGGATATGTGATTTGCCAAATAAGATTTATCTTATCAAGGACTAGGCTCGCCCACCCGCCCTCTGTTTTCTTGTAAAATATGTTATTTTCCAAAATCAGTCTTATCTTACCAAGTACGTATGCCTAACTCTGGTTATTACAGTGTTTATAATTTTTTCTTTAATTATATAATTTTCAATTACCGATACTTTTGTTCAAATAGAATGTTTCCAAATTTTGATATTTTTTTGTAAAAGTAAGTCATCAATACCTGTTAGGATAAAACTAATTTTGGCAAATTACACCCTCTAAGAAAAGATAGGGGCTACTAGCCCCGCCCACCCTCCCTCTGTTTTCTTAGTGTGTATGTCATTTGCCAAAATCAGTTTTATCTTACCAAGTACTAACCCCGCCCACCCGTCCCCTATTTTCTCAGAGGATGTTATTTGCCAAAATCAGTCTTATCTTACCAAGTACTAGCCCCCTAATTTCTCACAGGATATGTCATTTGCCAAAATAAGACTTAAGACTTAAGACTACTAGCCCCGCCCACCCACCCTCTCTTTTCTTAGTGTGTATGTCATTTGCCAAAATCAGTTTTATCTTACCAAGTACTATATTATATATTGAAATGGCAAAATAAATTATTAAACAATAATTAAATAGTACGTGCTAAGATAAATACTGATTTTGGCAAATCACATACCTTCCAAGAAAATAGAGGGCGGGTGGGTGGGGCTAGTACTTTCTAAGATAAGACTGATTTTGGCAAATCACATAACTTCCAAGAAAATGGAGGGTGGGTGGGTGGGGCTAGTATTCGATAAGACTAAACTGATCTTCGCACTTTTGACATTTTCGACTATTTTTCAACTATTTCCGAAAATTATCGAGAAAATTTCCAAAAATTTTTTGTCTGAAACAGTTAAAAGGCTCAATGGAAAATAGTTGGCTTATAGATAATTTTACGCAGATTACGAATCTAAAATATTTTTGACAATTTGTCTTCAAATAATTGAAAAATGCGAAGAA